CTCACCCCTTCTTTCTTCTCTCTGAAAGTGGAATTTGCAGCCCTGTACCTCGCGCACCTGTATGGATATACGCACGCGCGCTCTTTCGACATTCTACAGCGAGCACCCCGTACATGACACGGGGCACGCAGGCAAGACAGCGGATATCTAAAGGGACCTTGCGGATATCGGCTGCGGGTTGCGTGCCTCCTTGATGAAAACATGCTGAAAGGCACGGAAGTGGCGAGGAGGGTTCGACGGCAGAAAGTGAGAGGGAAATTTTAGAGAGATTCGTGCGAGGGGATGAGTTGAGACGCTGAGTTTGTCCCCTAGCTGACAATGCTGTACAAGCTACGTATACTCGCGGGACCAATCAGCTGCGTAGCTTTCATCGCCTGACCCCGTGATCACGTGACGAAACATGGACGCGCGACTATAGTCCAACGGCACACGTAGGTTCCGCCTCGCTGTCAGCTTTAGCGTTTGACGAAGTATAGACGTAATGCAAGAGAGGCTGAGAGAGAGGGGAAGAGAGATATTGAAAAGGGGGCAAAGGAAAAGTTCGTGCCGAGGCCGGCTTGTATAAAGACGGGACCAGTGGCCTTCCATTCTTCCTCCGCCGGAAGTGACTTCAATGAAGCTTCCGGTTTGTGCTCGGTCCGGCGTATTTCTTCAAAAACAGCGTTCCCCGCGCACGCTCGTCGCGTGGCTTCCACGGAGGCGTTATTGATGGTAGTGCCGGTACCTTCCTGTCCCCCGGCTTTTTGGACGACGACGAGAGGGAGTTCTGGGCGACCCGTCGGCTTCCCTATATGCGGCTGTTTCCCTGCGGGCTTCAGCTGCTAAACTATGAGATGTCCGTACAGATATAGAGCTTTTTTTTATGTTATTGAACTTACGCTCGGGGCATATTGCTAAAAATATTATTATAGAGAACACCACTGACACGGACGTGCTCGTGCACTTCAAATTTTGCGAAAATCTGTGCTTATTTCTTTTTTTAAAGTTCATACACAATGTTAAAAATACAACCTAAAAAAAAAGATAAAAAAATTTCCCGCTAGGAAAGTGTAGTTCAAAAGTTTGATAGGCTATATTTAGCAGACTTCGGTTTCACTAATACACAGTTTAAGTGGGCCGTGCGCTTAAGCTTTGCGTATTCAAAGAAATTGCGGGTCGGGAGTGCGCTTGCGCAGAACGCAATAGAAGGGCTAGCGTATTGCGTACGCGCGCAACGCTGGGGATTTTGCATTGTGAGGAACAGGGGTCATACCATTTTTGGTCAAGAATTGTCGTACAGACAAGGCAGTGTGAGCCGGGGCATTGTCATGATGGAAAAACCAGTCACCCGACTTCCCCAAATCGGGCCGCTTCCGCCGCACACTGTTGCGCAATCTTTTCACAACCTCCAAGTAGAAAGCCTGGTTAACTGTCTGACCCTGCGGAACAAACTCTGAATGGACGACTCCTTTCACATCGAAAAAACTAATCAACATTGTTTTGATGTTTGATTTCACCTGACGAGCTTTCTTGGGGCGAGGCGAACCTGAAGTCTTTCACTGGCTTGATTGTTGCTTTGATTCAGGATCGTAACCATAGCACCAAGTTTCGTCACCTGTAATAACTTTTGAAAAAAAGTTTGGGTCACTTCGGGACTCCTTTCAAAGCACAACATGCTTCCACGCGACCTTGCTTTTGTTCAGCAGTCAGCAGTCGTGGCACGAATTTGGCAGCCACCCTTTTCATTCCCAAATCTTCTGTCAGAATTCACTGCAATGAACTCCAACTCACTCTCGACAGCTCCACAATTTCGTCAATGGTCCGTCGTCGATCTTCGTTGACGATTGCACGGATTTTTTCAACGTTTTCATGTGTTCGTGCCGTGAAAGGACGACCGGAACGAGGTTTGTCATCAATTGACATGTCGCCATTCTTGAAACGGGAAAACCACTCAAACACTCGAGTTTTCCCCATGGAATCGTCCTTGTACGACGTTTTTAAAAGTTCAATAGTTTATGTTCCACTTTTTCCGAGCAAAAAACTGAATTTAACCGCCGCACGCTGTTCACAGAAATCAGACATTGCAAAAACGACGCCCACACGAAACACTTGTCACTATAAACCCAGCCGCAACTAGTCCTAACCTTCTTCGAGGACGGAATTAGGCCTAATGACTCAGCAATGTTCGCTCTATCAACTCCTGGCGGCAAAACGCGGTACTGCAAAAGCTCTGCTTAAAAAAGAATTAGTTCGGTTTCTTTTGGGTCCCCCCTCGTATATAGCTAAGGAAGATTGCCTTACTACGAAATAGTGTGAAGTCCGCCGATCAAACTATCCGATTTTCGTTTTTTTGTTTATATGGTTTTATCGCACGGTACTATGGAACATGGGTCGTGCAGGCGCGTATGGTTATTTTCTGTAGGGACAGTAGAAACTTCCCTCTCAGGAAAGAAAAAAAAGAAATAGCGGGATAGACACAGTTTGTGTTGGGACTCGGTAGAGATTAGGAAACGTGCTTCTATATATTTGGATACGTCGACCATAAAATAGCATATTGTGCTATCGCTAAAATTAGTTTACCCGCATAAGTATTGCGCTATTTGTTTTTGTTCTCTTTTTCGGTAGAAGTTTATTTTTTGACACGTGTCCAAGCAAGCACTTACATTATTTTTCTTAGCATTGCCCGATGATGTTATAATAATATTAATAATAATAATAATGTTATTTTTTTATTCAGTTTACAAATATGCCCGTGCAGGATCGCGGCATGAGACAGCACGACATTCGGGCTTTTGTAACAGGACCGCTTTCGATGCATGGGTGGGGGCACAAGTCGGGAACGCGTTCCGGGGCATCGGAGTGCGAGGCCGTATCTCTCGATGTCCCTCGTGCGATCTTGATCATCCGGGGAAGCACAGTGACGTCTTTTTGTCAGCTCTAGATAACCGTCGGTTGCATACGTATGCGCGTGGAATCCTCGCAACGCTCATACCACGTTTGTCTGAAGAGTTTTGGAGTTTTGGCGCGCATTTTATTTCCCCAGTTGTATTCAATCTATGAAACCACTTCCGATTTCTTGGTGCCTAAATGTTTATATTATTTAATTTTTTTAATTGAAAACACGAAAACGGAATCGAACCTGGTCAAAGTTGATTCTCAGCAGGTTCTGCCGAGAATCAACTTCAACAAAGTTCGACTTAATTCTTTTCTTTTTTTTTTTTTTAATTTTTAACGCAATGTTTGACACGATACGTTGGACTCGTATGGTCATGCGCGGAAGTTGCGAATTATTCGATGCCAACTAGCAGAACAGTGCAACATACTAATTAATTGAGTGATTATGCGTTTGCGTTCGAACTGCGTACCGGTATTGTTTAATTTTTTCTAATTTCCAATAAGCTTTTTCTTCAAAATTGTGTTTAGAAGTTAGGGAGCATTCTTCAAAAGTCTAATTTGGTCCAGAAACTCTCTCTCTTTGTCTGATGCAAACCTTCTGCCCATAAGTAGCAGGATGATGTTCACTCGAATGAAATTATTTCTTAAACTGCCGCATAATTTATTGACATAGAAAAATATGTTCCATATACAAACTGGAATAACACAACTATAGAATGCAACGTAACAAATGTATTGCTCTTCATCGCTTCAACAAAGACTATTTTAGCAAATATTTTTTTTCTCAAATGTATCGACGAACGGGAACTGCCTACCCACGAATGCTGTAAATAGTGAAAATGTGAATGCTTTTTTTTTTTTCGATGACAATTTTTATATTTAAGGGCACCTGCTTTTTAAATGCCTACCAACCAGCTTTGACTTTACTGGCAATACGTTAAAATAAATAAATTAATAAAATAAATGCATTTGGCGAAGAGGTCGAAGGTTTCGCGAACCGGCCGTCCCTCGACGTTTGGGCAAATGTTCGCGACCTCCGTAGTAATTAATGACGTTCACGACTCGTTTCGATTTCACTCGAAACTGTTTAACTGAAATTGTCTGTCATCGCCGCGATGTTTCGGTGGCGCCCTCTACGCACGATAGAAGCTCGGAGTCATCGCGTCCTTTCACTACCGGTGCCTTTATTTAACGCGTTTTTGACTGGTGGGTTTTAGCGTCCATGCACTCCGCCCATGCAATGAAATCGGTCCCGAAATAGCAAACATTAACGACAAAAAAAAAGTATATATATATATATATATATATATATATATATATATATATATATTTTTTTTTTTTTTTTTTTTTTTTGTGAAGAAAGAAGAGCAGCGGAGCTGTACTATGTGCCGCCATCTATGGGCGACAGCGGCAACCAGAATTTAGTGGTGTTGAAGTACGGTACCCGAAACCCTTCTCCGACTGGTGTATTTACCGCGTCCAGAAAAGTGGTTCCTCCAAAAGGGGAGCCACTTTTCTGGACACGGTAAACACACCAGCCGCAGAAGCGTTTCGGGTACTGTACTTAAACCAACACCGCTAAATTCATGTCTGACGTTATTATTCTTTTTTTTTTTTTTTTTTTTAAATCAATGAAGCAAAAAAAAAAAAAAAAAACTCCGTTTTTCCCATGTGGTGAAGAAGGAAGACCAGCGAACCTATGGTGGAAATGAAGTAATAGCCGGCCGCAAGTCGGCATGCCAGAGTGGAAAGGCTGGAAAGGTTGCCGCCATTTATGAGCGACGGCGGCGACCAGACAAGCCTGTCGGCTGGTTGGCGCCGTCGCTCATAGATGGCGGTAGATGTCCAGAGTTTCGTGTCATCAGTTGTTTGCTTGCTGACGGACACGATACTTCGGAAACCAGCCCTTAACAGCTCCCCTGTAAAAATGTATATATATATAATCGAAATAAAGACGCCCTAGTGAAGGTATTGCCGATCGCGAATGTCGACCGTAGCGACGCCTTTGGCCGCACACGTGGCCAATATGCGGTTTTCGACTTTACCTGGCATCGCGTGTACCTGCTTCGTATGAGTGAGAGGTTATGCTGCGTTTCCTTTATATATTTATTTCTTTTTTTCTCCAGGTACGATGGTTCACCCAGCAAACGCTGAAGCGTCGCTCCAAGCGTGACCTTACCCGAACCGTTCTCAACGACCCCAAGTGGCACGAGATGTGGTACCTGGTGAGTGGAGAATTGCTCGACTTTGTGGCGTGGATGCGGACCTCGCTAAAACCCCGCTAGTAGTGGACAGCATTTGCGCGGTCGAACTGGGGAAATACCTGCATGTTTTTCTCGGTATTATGGAGAACCCACATTAGGGAGTTTTCGTAGACCGCGCTGCCCCCTCCGCTAAGCGTTCCGCAACGAAGAAGTTGCTACTGCGCCTGCGCGCCGATAGCCTTGACTGTGGAGTTCCCGCTATCGTAGCGGGTTGCGGAGGGCCTTGCGGGACGGCGAAAACGATCTACGAAAACTCCCTATTATGGACGATTTCTTGCGTTAGCGGAGGATTATGCGTTATTGCGTATTAACAGGACATAATGTTTTTCTTTCTTTTCGTTGCTAATTTCGGTTACTGCAGTTTATACAACAATGCGACTTGTACGCATTGTTTTTTTTTTTTTTTCTTTTTTTTTTTTTTCTTATTTATTTCTTTAATATGAACATGAACGGCGGAAATTGGCCCCGGGGGTTATATTTCTCGTTCGATTGAAACTTGTTTTCGCTCGCTCGTATATTGCGATCATTATACACATGTGCGGACGTTTCAATCGATGGATCCGAAGAAGGAGATTTTAGAAAGACAAACGATAAAAAATATAGATCTTTACTCTCAAACACAACTCTTATTTTCATAAAAAAAGAAAAAAACAACTCTTCTGGAAGTAAATTTGACTCCCGACTGGTCTGCACGAAGAGTACAAAAGAAAAACAATTGGTATGATAACAAAATTCTGCTACTTTTTTTTTTTTTTTAATGGTTGAGGTTTGAAGGTACGTGGTGCGGTTTTCGAATGTGCAGTTTATGTTCAATCCCTGTTCATTCGTAAGGTATGGCGTTTAAAGGTTCGAACCCTACGCACATTCTTCGATGTTTAAGGGAGTATCAACCTCTGTTTTACTTTCTCGGACGCCTATTTATTACATCCGGAAGCAATCGTACAAGTTAATTGAATTAACGATGTGGAAGAGACTCGGCCGTCTTTTTCGAGCAGCTAGGTCGCACCGCCTTTAGTGCAGATCGAAGTTGGCCCCGTTTCCTCTCCTGTTTTCCTTCGGGGTTGTTACACATGGCGGCGTGCTGGAGGCTTCAACGTGCTATCGGATTGCGCTCGCTCCAGCGACCGTGAGGGAACCGGCCGATAGAGCGAAGGGGTCATGGGGAGGAAGTGGGAGTGTGAAAAGCGGGAGATAGGGACTCTTCGATTTCTTCAGACGAAGGAGTGAGGTGGTCGCCTCTGTAGCGGCAACTTGGGCAACGCCTCACCTCGATTTCTTTTATCTCTTTTTTTTTAACCCTATTTCTTGTTTTTCTTTTTTTGTTTTAATCCAGATTTTACAGAAAACGATATAATGTGCTATTGCGATACGTGTCTGTGGTAAGTTGAGAGCTTTCGAACTGTCATCTTTCTGCCTCCGTTTGTATCAAGTCTTTTTTTTTTTTTTTTTTGTGCAATAGAGTTGAATTGGTAGTTATCCGAAATTCCAGCTAGCTTTATGTAATACCAGCTTTAAATGAATACAAAAGCAAAAAAGAGGCTCCAAGACCAGGCACTTGTATAAACCGGCTAATATTATCTAAAAAGAAATTACAATGTTTAACACCGCCACGTGTAAATCCTTCTATATTTTTGTTAGCCCGATAAAGAGATGCTTTCGGCGGTTGTGTCGAAATATCGCGCCTGGGGATTCTCGCTCAGTAGGTCGGACTCATGCATAGGGATTATATAACTGAGAAAAAAAAAATAAGAATGAAAAAATGAAAAAGCCTTAGAATTATTTGTGTATATATATATATATAATATATGCACAATGCGTTTCGGAAATTACTATAAAAGTAAAGTGAATCATCCTTGTTTGGCGGAACACTGGAAGTGTAATAATCAGTTTCGTTACGAATCCGAAAGGTGTCTTGGGGGGACGATCAAATTAAAAACCCTCGTGCTACGTGGTTATTTTTTTACCTTGTGGCTTCTTTGCGCGTGAGATAAAATCTTGGCATTCGATAAGTGGAGGTTTTATCGTTTTTGTATTCGAGATTGCATATTGTGGATGGTCTAGCTTTGTCTCACATAAGTGGGGGCGCAGTTAGCGCCTGACTGCCCTCTGACATACAGACACGAACACACACTAAAAGCGCAAGGTCTGTGTACATTCACTGCGTTTGATTGGTTTAACGAATAATAGGATTTCTTCCTTTAATCTTTCATTAAAACGTCAGTTGAACATAGTGCTGCTTCTCTTGCCCTGTCCTCGCTTGTTCTTGGTCTTTCGCGCTAATACTTCCATGATGTTCGAGCAACTAGGGCATATAATTGTGGCCTCGTAGAGTCGGCGGCCTCTCAACGCTACGAGTTGATGCGCCGCACGTGACGTTAGCAATGCGACGCAAGCGCAGAGAAGAGCGATCGACGTCACGGACGCTCTTTGTCCGCTTGGTTTCGGTTTAGGGTCGTCTGCAAGGATGATGTTTCTCGCGCCGTAAATTCCAGTACTAATATAATCAAAATTACACGTCACGGCTAGACCATAATGGCCTTCATTGTCGATTCTCCAATTACATTATGCCCCCCCCCCCCCCCTTTTCCGCCCTCCCTCAAGATTGACAATTTCAGAAGTGGATGAAATCTTTTTAATTAACTCGCTAACTAATTTACCGATTTCGCCTTTTGTAGCAGCTATGGGCCCCGCAGAGCTAAACGAAAAACACTAACGCAAATTTTCTCTTTTTTTTTTTTAAATTTGGAATGGTTAAAGTAACACTTTGTCATTTAGGGACGCCAGAGTCGAGACTAAACAGGATTCGACGATTTGAATTTAGGAAGTAGCATCTGGCAATGCTTTGGAACGGTTTGTGATGACGTCATCCTGACCCGCCGTCTTCGTCACTTCCGCTGAAATGTTACGTTCCTTTCGCCGCCAGTTTGACCGAAGTTCAAGTTCGCATCGACCTTATTGGTTCTGGCGGCATGACGTCAATGTGACGTAGAGCGTAGTCTACCTTTCATTGGTTCGGCGCAACGAAGAAGGCGGGCACGCGGTGCGTTCGGGGGGTTCCTGATTGGCCCAACTCCGCTGCAGGCCTCCTGCTCGGTCCATTGAGTTGGGCGGAGTTTACGTTCGCTTTTATTTATTATTATATTTTATTTTCTTGTATTGAGCTTGGCGATGCCTAAGTTTATTGCTCCCAGAGCCGCTGGAGGTTTTTAGTTTCCAAACTTGACGCCGAACGTAAATATTTTAGTCTCTCAGGATACTCTCGACTGTTTGCGTTGCTTCCAGTTTCTGTTTGCGTTCGCTGGTTTATGTCGTTATTCATTTCGGAATTAAAGTTGGCCGCGTCTATTTGCAGCCTCGCCCTGACCACCTTCAGTATATACTTATCCGGGCTGGCGTACACCCGTGAGCTCCCGCAAGTTTTGGAGCAAGCTCTGTTCCAGAAGAGGGCTAGAACGCAAAGTTTAGACCCCAAGCCACGTACCATTTGAGACGTTGAGAGTTAATATAGCTTTAGGGAGTCGTAAAACAGGCAAGAAACCGGGTAAGGTGTTCACCTTTATATGCGGAGGGCAAGTTCGTCTGCTCCTTGCGCAGGGGGTAGCGGTGACGTCAGAACGCCGAGCCCTGATTGGCTGATCGAGCCCCCCTATCTGAGCGTCGTCTGCTCCTTTGCAACGTCGTCTGCTCGCAACGTCGTCTGCGTCTGTCTTACCTTTCCTGCGACTTTCGGAAGTGCAGAGGCCAGATTCACGATACGATCTTGCGCCAAAAATGTGCGTAAGACAAAACTTAAGAACAAATTCGTATTCACGAAACGAAATTCTCGTAAGTTTTGCGCAGGTTACGGCGAAATCCTACGACAGCTCCGAAGCTGTCTTACGCACTTCTTACGATCAAGTCAGCATGGCCGACAGCGTCGCGGTCGCGACGACCCACGGACGTTTATTTTTCTACGTGAGCTTCTCACGCGTCCTGACTTCAAGCAGCAAAAAAAAAGTAAAAATTACTTGAAACAGAGCACGACGAACAAGAACGCTGGATCCACAGACACCGGGGAAAAGCTCCAACGGCGACGATTCCACCGAACACGACCAAACGAGCTGGGCAGTTAGGCCTAGCAGGCACTCCGCGACTTGGCGACCGTCTGCCCACGACCGGCTGACGTGCTGAATGGAATATGCCCGCGCGACCCTTGTGAACCCTTCCCGTGTTATACTTTGATCGCTGACCTCAATTTTAGATTAAGAGGTCAATTTCTTCCTCTTGTTATCTCCTTGTTTCCCGAGGCAACCGTGACTCTCGCCGGTGAAAAAGCGGGGAATCTCCGACAGACGCAGGAAAGGTAAAGCAGCCATCGCTTTGACTAGCAGACGTAAAGCAGACGACGTTAAAGGGACCATGAAATGACCTTTTTACTTTTTCCAGATAACTTTTACATTAAACCGTCAATGTTCACTGAATGCCGAACACGCATCCGTTTTCGTCTCGGTTTATTAACTTCTACACAAAAAATTAACGAAATATCGACTTTTTCTTGACCGCAAAAGAAGCCGTGACGTACGCTGCTTCCGGAACCGGAAGTTCTCTCGGCGGTAGGAGATGGGAGCGTTAGCGGCGACGAGTTGGGGTGCGCCGGTAGGTTTTACTGCGCTGATGTCACCGACGTATTTCCTGAATCGGCGCCTCTCATCGCCGCATCGCAGCTGAGCGAAATTCAATGAGATATGTTGCGCTACAGCGACAGCATGGGACTAGTCCCATACGCCGGTATGCCTGTTGGGAAGTGCAGCGAGTCTTGTCACCACCCCGTCATTGTTGGCAGAAGGGCCGGCCCGTGTCAGTCGTTTGCAAAGCGACGTAGATGGCGTTTTTCGCGGCCTCGGAGATGCAGGAGCGAGCCGACGTTAAAAAAAGATACGTTTGAACTACGAGTGTCAGCAAGAGCCACGTAAATACCTGCT